ATTTATTTTTTATTATTTAAATATATTTAGCATCTTTTTTCATTTTTTTAAACAATGTTTGCTTTCTTTTCTTGTAGTCTCCATAGAATTTCCACCAGCAGCTCACCCATTCACAATCACTATAGTCACTTGTGCTCTTCCCTCCCTTTTTAAAAATAATATATTTATTTTTTACATCACTCTTCAATTTGTGCATTTTTTTTCATCTTGATTGTAATCCCTGTGGACTTTTCACCACCAGTTCACCCATGTACCTTCACCATAGTGCTATGGTGCTCCTTCCATCCCACTTTTGATCCTATTCTCTTCTCCACCCCATAAAATGGCTCTGGTTTATAGTTGTTCATTGTTTTTTGTTTTTACTCTATTACAATTGCTTCCCCACCCCCCATCTCTTATGCTTCTGCTATGAGTGCAACCATCCAATATTTTTCTTTTTTCTTTCTGGCTTATTTAACTAAGCATGATCCCTTCCAGCTCCATCCACATTGCTGCAAAAGGCATGAGTTTATTTTTTTTATTGCTGAGTAATATTCCATTCTGTATTGTGCTACATCTTTTTAATCCAGTCATCTATTTTTGGGCATTTTGGTTGATCCACATCTTCCCTATTGTAAATAGAGCAGCAGTGAGCATAGGGGTATAGGTGTCCTTTTGAATCAATGTTTTTGTGTCCTGTGGGTAGATACCTAGGAATGGGATTACTGGGTCATATGGAAGCTCCATTTTTAGCAGTTGAGAAACCTCCAAACAGTTTTCCATAGTGGTTGTACTAGTTTGCATTCCCACCAGCAATGTAGGAGTGTTCCTTTTTTTCCACATCCTTGCCAACATTTGTTCTTGTTAGTTGTTTTTAATATGTGCCATTTTCATTGGTGTGAGATGGTATCTCATTTTGGTTTTGATTTGCATCTCTCTTATTGTAAGTGATGCTGATCATGTTTTCATATACCTGTTGGCCGTCTGCATTTCCTCTTTGGAGAAGTGTCTTTTTTAGCTCTTCTGCCATTTTTTAAATGGGGTATTCAGAAACTTACAAATATTTCAGGATAGTTTTAAATGTATAGAAAATTTGGGAAGCTAGAACATAGCATTTCCATATACCCAGCACCCGTTTTTTCACTATTATTCCCATCTAACATTACTGAGTTACATTTCTCACAACAAACTAGCCAATATCAATTCATTGTTAGTTACTGAAGTTGATATTATTCATAGTGTCTACCTAACACTTTTTTTCTACTCCAGGACAGGCCATGACATGTTATTTTCTTAGAGCCAATGGGCATTGCTGTCCCACGTTGGCTATTTTCAATACTCTTGTTTCGTTTGTGGAGCCTTGTGAGGTGCTTTGTAGCAACCCCTCGGTTATTATCCCATGGCTGAACTGTGGTTGTGGGCTTGGGAGGAAGATGCTATATGAAGTTCTTCTCCCTACATTATGTCAAGTGCCCATGTTCTCATCATAACTTGTCTTGACGGTGTTGACTTTGCTCTCCTGACTGGCTTGTGTCAGTCAGGCTTCGTCACTGTCAAAACTCTTCCCTTTCCTTCTATTGTTGATCCTATCTTGGACCTCAGCTTTCTGGGTTGGTTGCTACAGAGGCACCAAGCAACTACTTCCAAGTGGAAAGACCCTCTGATATTTTCATTTTTAAAGATTTATTTATTTATGCATACAAGAGCTGGGGTGTAGGCCAGAGGTACAGGGGTTGAGAAGATTCACCAGAGTCAGAGTGGGAAACTGAGTAGGTTGACTGACTGAAATACACTGCTGAGAGGAGCAGTGGGTGAGACAGGAGAGCTCTGCTGTGTCATGTGGGTCAGCTTCCTCGGCAGCTGAGAATCAAACTCATATTGCAGTGGCTGCTGATTGCTTCATAGTGCTGAGACTCAACCCTTTGCACCACCAGGGAGGCTCCCTCTGGTACTTTTCTAACTCCTTCTGGAGCAAAAGAATTTGAGGTGTTTGTTCATCATGACATTACTCTAATTGCAGTGAGCTCAGTATAAAGTCTCCTCTCTCTGAGGTAGAAATATCCAACAGTATTTTGTGAACTGTTAGCAGGAGATTTCACTCAGGAATTTTGGCAAAGTTATATCATCCCTTTTCTATAGTCAGTAAGTTTGGTGATTTTACATGGGTCATGGGGAGAGTGGAATAATGTAGCTATTCCATGTTTCCTATGTGACAGGAAAACAGTGTTTTAAAGTATCTGATGAATTATAAGGGAGTTTAACTGAAAACATCTAAAAAAGAGCGGGAAGAGAAGTAGTGATTAAGATAGGGTGCCTTGGATTATTGTTTGGAAAAACTATGTGCAGGGACCCCTGGAAGTTTCTAGGGAATAAGATAGGGTGGCTAATCCAGATATCTACGTGGCTTCCATTGCTAAAAAGTGGTGTCAGAGATGAGTTTGAGCAGATAGGATGGGAGATTTTGTTATCTTAAAGGGTTAGGCATTAGAGAGCATTAAAGGATTTTTAGGTGAGAAAGAAATAATGAAAGTCAAAGTTGTATTTTAAGAGAGTCCTTTTGTGGGGTGGAGGATAAACTGGAGGGGCTGAGATAGGAGGCAGGAGGCAAGCAGATCTATTGAAATCATCAAGCGTGACATGGCAGAGATTAAACCAGAGGGAGAAGCAAAGGTGGAGAAGGGGAAGGATTGAGGCTAATTCTGGGGATAGGCTCATAGGTCTGGTGATTTGGGTCACAGGTAGGGGCTAAGGGAGTGTTTCAGGCAGGGGTGACTGCTGCTGAAACCCACCAGAGGGGTAGGCTTGAGGGTGCCTTGGGTTGCAGGATGGGCAGCAAGCGGGGTTGATGGGAGATTCCATGGCCAGAATGGTGCTGGAGGCACCCCCAAGACAAATACAGATGTGACAGTCCTCCAGTCCCCCACAGGTGTCCAGGGCAAGGGGCAGATGACGCCCGGGAGGTTTAGGCTGGAGCCCCAGGAACAGCACTGCTGAGGCCATGACTCAGAGCATGGGGAGAACTTTTGGACTCTGGGAGCCCTTACCCCCCAGTCTGGGGAAACAGCCAAGGCCTGTGGCCCTTGTCAGATGCCCCAGATATCTGCAGGTGGCTGGAGCATGCAATGAACCTCTAGCTGCCCCTGCCTGGCCCTCTCAGGGCTTTCTGGATGCTCACCTCTGACACTGGTCATGTGAATAGACACCCTGTGCTGTCTCTGCAGCTGATTCTAAATGAGCTGGGATTAAGAGATTTCTCTGCTCTTTTGAAGCTCACTGGTGAATGACTTAGAAGGAACCTAATTCCAGAAACATGCAGAGATGACAGGGACGCCCAGGTGGCTTGCTTCAATCCCTACCTCATCATCATTTCGTAGAAATGGGAGTATTTTAAAATGTGCAAATCCGAGGCAGAAACATTCCCAACACTTGCAGGATCTTATTCATTGTTTTCATTACACCTTGTATTTAAAAAACACCCAGCAACACAGATACTTGAAATGAATTATCCTCTTAGTAATTGTCACTATACGGGTTGGGGGTGGGGAAATGCATTTGGTTACAGATGAAGTAGCATAGGAGATTTCCAATAAACAACACAATTTACCAAGCAAGTTTGAGAGAAAAACTTTGGCGAACAATAAATTGTCAGATCTGACCTCAGCTCCAGAGTCAGATCAAGCACTTCTGCCTCTGGCAGCCACAGACTGTCTAAGCGAGCACTGCAGGAGAGAGGGAGCCACAGCTCTGGAAACTGCCTTTCTCCTAAAAATTCACCCTCACACTCTCAGGCATTGATTTTGTTAGTTACATGTATTATAGTTAATATTCAAGCATAAACTTATCTATTAAATTATATTCATTTTTTAATTACTCTGGTACTAACTCCTCTTTCCCTCTTCACTTTAAGTTCAAATTACGTTATCTGCTTTGAAATCAGGGAAAGAGACAAGAAAATTTTACTGTCTATTGGGCAAAGGGTAAAGTAAGATAAAACATGTAAGAAGGACTCATCATCCTACTGTTTTATTATAGAATACAGAAAATCCTGGAAATGAAATTATCAAAGACATAGTAGAAGAAACTGCAAAGAATTGGGGAAAAAAAAAAAAAACAACACTGGTGTTGAAATAGCCAAAGATGCCCAACCATGCTGGCAAATCAACATGACATTTCAGAATGTCAAGTAATGTTAGAATATTAAAGGGAAAGCAGGAAGACATCAGTGTCAAGAAAAGAAGATAACCCTAAACTTTTCAAGGAGAAAAAACAAGTCTTCTATGTACAATGAGAATCACTGAGGCACCTCATCATGTAGATATTATACAGAAGTTATCTTTGATTCACAAGTCACATATTATTATGTTCCAAGATGAGTAAGATTTCAATCAGATTTATTAAGCTAACTAGATATAATAATTAAGAGTCCATCTTTCTTTCATCTAAGATTGAAGAATGGAAACCTGTAAGCATTTACTACCCAACAATTATGACTTTTATAAAGGCCATGTTTATATAGTGAGTGAAACGGTCTAGTCTTGTTCATGTGGAAACATTACAACTGAGGAAACAATTTAATCAGTTAACGTAGAAGTCCTGGTTCTGGCAATAGTGTTAAATTATCATGTCAGGCTATTTATTTGTGCATCAAAATGTAATATTTAAAGGTATAATCACTTTGTTTTAAAAATAAGTGCAGAGCATATTTAAAACACAATTATCTTTATTTATAAGCAGATCACTGAAGTAGAATCTATAAAAGGACAGAAGTAGATACATGTAAGGAGTGTAAATGTCAGAGGGGAACATTACATTCCCTCCTTATGGCTAGGCTGATGGAAAATATAAAAATGAAGAAATAAGGAATGTGTTAGGATAACAAAGCAACTCCAAAGTTTAAAAATAGTGATTTCTAGGTCATTTCTGGATTATTAGCAATCGATGCCCCTCCCCCTCTCTGGTGGGGCGCAGAAAGGCCGGTCACAGTGCTGGTGTCAGCCTGACTGGTTCTGGTCCTCGCGCTTTCACACTCTGTGTATCTTGTGAAGCTCCACAAACGGGGCCAAGTCGTCGAGGTGAGGCCACCACTTATACAGAAACCGCTCGGCGATGGTTCTCAGCCATGGGGTGACCCTCACTTCTCCCCTGGCACCTCTCTCCAGGAGCTCTTCCAGCTCTTCTTGGGTCAGGTAGAGGAAGCTTTTTGTCTCACTGGGGTCTGGATCGACAGTAACATCCTTTCTCACAAGCAGAAGATAACAGATTTCATGTTCTCCCCAAATTCGATCTGATTTGGCTTTATGATGATATATGGTCATAAATACAATGTCCTCCAGAGAAATCTACAACAAGTGTTGATACAGTATTAAGAGGGCTAATTTACTTTTTTAATATAAAATTCCCAATTTTTATTTTTGTTAAATATTTATTTATTTATGCATATAGAACGGGGGTAGAGGTCCGAGGTGCGTGGGTGGTTCACGATAGACAGAGTGGGGAGCAGAACAGGCAGACTGGCTGAAATACACTGCTGAGGGGAGCAGCGGGTGAGATAGGAGAGGTCTGCCACGCCATGTAGGTCACCTCCCGGCAGGGGATCCAGCTCATGCTGCAGTAACTGCGATAGCTGCACAGTGCTGTGCTTTAACCCATTGGGCCTCCAGGGAGGGCCCAACAATGCTAATTTAAACACAGAACGTGTAGACAAAATAGAGAAGATAAATATGTATTCATTTTCTTCAAAGGGTTTTGCCAAGCCAGAATTTTGGCTGACTACATTTCTGTAGATTCCAACTTGAATAATAACCTCGTCTTACTATCTTGGTTCAAATAAAGCTGTCTGCGTCTTACTTTTAAGAACCAGCCCTTCAGCCCAGTAAGATCTGGCCAGTTTGGTCAGGAAACTACTGTGCCCATCAATATCTTCCCAGATCAAGATCAGGCTTAATGGCATGTTCACAGGTAGTGGTGCTCCTACCACAATGCTTCATAGAAAGCTGATTCCTGACCATCTCAACTCTAGTCAACTGGACCAAGGACCCCAACAGAGCTGCCCTCTTGGTGAGATGTGCTTTTGAGGTCAAAACACAAGACCTCAGGCTCAGCTTTGCCCTTCCTGGGTCGCAGGGGTACCTGCTCTGGGGGAATGCCCAGCTCAGCCTGCAGGTGCCTGTGGGCCGCGCGCCTCACTCCCAGGGCGTCTTTCTCCTCCAGCTCTGCAGGATTGCTCAGGGGGTGACCGGAGCAGGAGTCAGTGAAATACCCTGGAAAGAATTCACAAAGGGAACTTGGCTCTTGCTTTGTTTCTTCAAAACTGAATACATAAGTTATAGACACACACCTTTCAAAGCGGGAGCTTTGGCAATTGCCTGGCAGTGTGGAAAGAGAGAATGGGTGAGTGAGTCTGCATCCCTACTCCCACACCAGAAGGGTTTGGGCCAGTGCTTAAAAAAAGACACCAGGTGGCCCCTGACTCCAGCTACCCTGGGAAGGGGCAGCATAGACAATCCTCTGGCCTCTGCTCCAGACCTCCTCCTGCATTCCTAGTGGAACTATCCAAGGAAACATTGCAGTGGGGAGCAGATGTGCACCCCGGCACTAGCCATCTCCCTCCTCAGACACTGAATGTTTCTTGCATACATTGTAGGAGTCCCTAGTGCAGAGTACACCCTTGCAAGCAAGCTGGAATTCTGCTTCTCCTGAAGGTGACTTACACTTGGTGTGAAATTTTAGAGTGAGCCATGACTGCTTGCCATGCGTCTCAGAGCCACGGCCACCTTTCCACTTTGATAGTTCAGAAGTTTTTCTTAAACAAACTTTTCTCAGCTCTACAAAGAAACTTAGCACTGTAATGTGATCAGCAGATATGGAGGTGATTTGGGGAATGATGAGATGTCTCTGCCAGGCCTCAGAGAAAGAGGAGTTCAGGGGAAGAAGGGACCCTCCATTGCCCCCATATGCTGGGGTCAGCCCACTTGTGATTAGTTCACTGCAAGGTGAGGTTTTGAAAACTCAATGCTCCTTGCCAAAATACTTCAAAGAACCACAGCTGACATACATGCCATTGGGTAAAAGGGTAAATCCATTCACTCATCATTTAAGAAATGCAAAATATATATATCTAAAACTCCAAGACTTGCATTGTAAGATAATAATTTGTCATTTTCTCCTTGATTTTTATACTCAACACCACCAAATGGAATTCCTCCAAATCCTTAGAAGGAAGTTTACCTGATTTAAATAATTTTGTAATGCAAAACATAGTCAGAGATAAGCATGTTTCTTAATTTAAAAAAAAAACAGACTCAATGAGGAAATCTAAGAAGCATCTCTCTGTCTTATTTCATTCAGAATGAGCTGCTTATTTAGATGAAAACAAAAGATAGATATTGATTATCTAGATAATTCAGGTCCACATTTCTATTACTCGCTTGAAAACAGACTCTTAAATCGTAAGTGTGGATAAATGGACTCACCAGGAAAAGTGACTTTGGTGTCTGACCTCTGCTGTATTAGGAGTTGATTCTCCGTGTTGAAGAGGACGACGCTGAAGGCTCGGTGCAACAGGCCTGAAAGGCACGTACCATCAACACAAGCATGGGTCAGCTTCACACTGTTTGTCTCCCACATCGGTCTCTGCCTCACAGAACCCTCTACAGTGATGGCACCTGGGTGGTGGCAAGGGGGTGCAGGTTGCCCTTTTCAGAATCTCCAGCTAATCAAAATGACATCACAAATTAAAGCTCAAATACATAATTTAAGATGACCTCTGAATATTCTCTCAAAGATGACACTTGCAGGAGGTTGAGGTAACTTGGGGCTCTTCCTCTCTCCCCGACATATTTGACAAGGGAAACAAATGGGAAAATCCTCCAAGAAAGAAAGAAAAATTTCCCAGGTTACCTTTCTCAATGTTTTCATTCAGATGGCAATTTCTCTTGGTGTCTGCACTAATAACCTTGTCATTTTCATCAACAACGATCAGCATTTCGTCTAAGCGCTGCAGTTGGCGCTCGTCTACCCAGTTGAGGTTGACTTCACTCATGACGGCCAGCTGCACCCCACCTGAAACACACAGGTGCCCTCCCATCTCGGTAGCAAAGACGTTAATCTCTGCAATCTGCTGTCAACTACTTTACGAGTTAAGACTTCTTCATGCCTGCATGACAAGAATAGTACTGAGGTGTGCGGTTGTGAGACATGGCAAGGTGTGATGTTATTCTAATTTAATTTGTTTCTGCACGGAAACTCTTGGATTATATCCATACCTATGTGTGTACCAATGTATGTATATATACTCACATGTATTCAGGTTTTTATAGATTTCTTCCATTTTCCATTAAGATTTAAACAAAATGGCCCTCCCTGCTGGCGCAGCGGGCTACAGCACTGCACTGAGAAGCTAAAGCCACTTCCGCATGAGTTCGATTCCCGCCTGCCCCGGAGGTGACCACATGGCGTGGCAGACCTCTCCTGACCCACCCGCTGCTTCCTTTAGCAGTGTACTTCATCAGTCTGCCTGTTCTGCTCCCTGCTCTCTCTGGTGAACCCTCTCACTGCCCCTGCACCTCTGGCCTGCACCCCAGTTCTGTATGCATAAATAAACAAATCTTTAAAAAAAAAGATTTAAACAAAATGATGTAAAAGTAAACTATTATATTCTTAAAAAATGTAAAAAAAAAAATTTAAACAATAAGTTACCACAAAAAAGCGACTGCCAAGGAAAAGTTTAAATAATGCTCTCTGTAGTATATTTGTGACAGAAAGAAAAAAAAAGAAACCACACCCTGTCATTTATTACTTTCTGTTTTCCATTCCTCCATCTTACTTTCATCCCTTCTTAATATAAACACAAAAGATTTACTTTTGCAAATTGACAACTGAGAATTGAGATAAAGAAGAGAAAACAAGGATTTTAAACCTAAATCAGATCTTTGATTTTGTTAAAAGACAGGTCTTTGCATTTTGTGGGGGTGGAGTGGGGAATGGAATCAAAAACGGGGGGGGTGCACGGGATTATGGTGATGGCACATGGGCGACTGGGTGATGGGAAACCCACGGGGATTACAATTGAGATGGGAAAAAAATGTACAAAGTGATGTAAAAATAAACTGCTATCAAAAAAAAAAAAACAGGTCTTTGATGGGAAACCCAAGGGGATTGCAACTGAGATGGAAAAATGCACAAACATATGTAAAAATAAACTAAAAAAAAAAAAAAAGACAGGTCTTAAAGATGGGTTATGGCACTCTGACTCAATTCCACAGATCATCCAGCAGGAAGATGTTTTCACTGGACAGCAGATTCTCTAAGAGTGGGAGAGCTCTGGGGACAGCTGACTGTTCTGTGCCCACATCATTACCATGGAGTGTGTGTGTGTGGGAGGAAGTGTGCTGTGAAGTATTTATTTCTGCGAACCAGGTAATGTTCCTTCTGAGTGAATTGTGTGTTTGGTAAGTTTCATTAGTCACTGTTGTGTCTTAGAAAATATTAATAGGGTACATATATGCAATGGAATATTACCCAGCAATCAAAAAGATAGATTCATACCTTTTGCAGCAACATGGATAGAGCTGGAAGGGATCATGCTTAGTGAAATAAGCCAGAAAGAAAAAGAAAAATACCGGATGGTTTCACTCACTTATAGCAGGAGCGTAAGGGGTTAAGGGGCTGGGGGAGAGGGGAGTGGCGTGGGGAGAGAAACTAATGTAATAGAGTAAAAATGGAAACAATGAACAACTATAAACCAGAGGCATTTTATGGGAGTGGAAAAGGGAATGGGATCAGTACTGGGGTGGGAAGAGTGCACTGGCAAATGGGTGAATTGGTGGTGGGAATCCCATGGGGATTAAAACTGAGATGGAAAAATGCACAGAATGAAGAATGATGTAAAAAAATATTAAAATTACATCCTGGGTAACCAAATAATATTCATTAAATAATAATGGACAATTGCATTTGTGACTGAAGCAAAAGATACTTTGCATTTTAGAAAATAATTGAGACTAAAGGTGCATGCCCTCCTCGAAGTAAGTGTCATGATGTTACTAAAGAACATAATAAAACCCAATACTTAGGGCAAATAAAATATCTATAGAAGCCAGGAATCAGCATTTGAAATTAATCTATAAATTATTTATATTGAATCTGTTTGACATTTGAAAAACTGAAAATTTATTTCTCTCACATACGCTTACAACACACATATACACAAACACACTCATTTGCAGTAATAGCTCTGAATATTTTGAAAATAACTGAAAAAGGAGAGTTTGTGCAACACAACACAGAAATGAAAAAACTGAAATTATCAACCTGATGTACTATTGGAATCAGAGCATGGAAATGATGACAGGACACAGCAAATAGGCACAAGGTAGATGAAATTATAGACTTTAAAACATTGTTTAAATCTTGTAGTAAGTCAGAATCATTTTCTTAAAGCTGATCAAAAGAACATTTTTGCAAGAATTAAAAATTACTGGGAAATGGGCCCTCCCTGGTGGCGCAGCGGGTTAAAGCACTGCACTAAGAAGCTAAAGCCACCTCCGCATGAGTTCGATTCCCGCCTGCCCCGGAGGAGATCCACATGGCATGGCAGACCTTTCCTGACCAGCCCGCTGCTCCCCTCAGCAGTGTACTTCCTAGATCTGCCTGTTCTGCTTTCTGCTCTGTCTCTGGTGAATCCTCTCACCCTCCGCATCTCTGGCCTGTACCCCAGTTCTGTACGAATAAATAAATAAATATATTAAAAAAATTACTGGGAAATGTAATATTTACTAGTGAACTTTCACTGATCCTTAGATTGCAAAGTCCCTTAAAAAGACTTGTAGAACCTATAATCAGGTTTTACAAAAACCAAAGAAGGGGATGACTCAACAGCTCTTTTGAAGACCCCCTTGCACGTCAGTTCAAATACTACGTTGTCTCTTCAAAGCTTCATTCAGGCCATCCCCCAGGGCAACACACATCTCCACAAATGGTCACATCGTGCTTCTCTGCATATCACAGGACATCACATACATTTTCAGTTTTCCAGTTTCACAAACTGGAAAATCATAGATAATTACTTTGACTCAATTATACTTTTGGAAAATGCTCTCAGTTTTTAAACTTGTGGCCAATTATGTTCTAATATTATTTTAGTGTCAGCTTCAGTGATATTTTAAATATATATGGAAAAGAGGAGGACTTATTCAAGGATCAATGAAGGCTAACTCTTCAGAAACGAATAAAGTCCTATCCTTCTAAAGTTGTAATAGAACTTTCTGGTACACTCATAGATATTCATGTTATCCATGAATATTATGGATATGAATTTCAGATTTTTAAAAAAAAAGAACTCATGAAAGTACAAAAAACATATGTGGGGAAGTATTTACATGATAGTCTATAAAGAGAAACCTTTCTAGGTGTGACACTAAGAGCAGAAATACTGGCACAAAAAACGGTGGATTGAAATCTTTCTGTATGTCAGGAAAGCCAAAAAGAATGCATTGAACAGGACATTTTATCTGTTTAGCATCTTGGGATAAAGACAATATCCTCAAGCCACTGAGAGTTCAAAACACCCCGAAAGAACATTCGCTATTGTGATGAGTTTATTTCTTACCTTGTGGCACCACTTGCTTTATTTTCTGCAGAATACCTAAGAGGGGTTAGCATTTAACTCTTATCTATCTTTACCTCGTGTTTTACGCTCGGCTGTAATCCACTGCTACCTCACAGCGCCGGCCCTTCCTGCGGAGAGTCTCTTACCTTGTATCCTAGAAGTTCCCTGTACTCAGAGTCCAGGTCCCTTTTGGGGCACCACTTGCTATGGTGACCAGCCACGTCAAGCAGAATCTGAGGGAAGATGGTAGAAGAATAAGGAAAGACAGGAAACAAACGTGTTGGTGGTGCAGGGTTGGTGGTGCAGCTCTATCAAGCCATCACCAGCCACTGCAGCATGAGTTTGATTCCCGACTAGGGAGCTGACCCCATGGCACAGCAGACCTCTCCGGACCTTTTCACTGCTCCCCTCTTTTGGTAGGTCTGCCTGCTCCCGTTCCCCACTCTGTCTCTGGTGAATGCTCTCGCCAGCTCCACCCCTGCAACTCTGGCCTATACTCCACATGCATGCATAAATAAATCTTAAAAAAAAAGGATTGGTCACCTCCCTGGTGGCACAATGGTGGCCCAAAGGGTTCAAGTGCAGCACTAAGCTGATTGCAACCACTTCAGCATGAGTTCAATCCACAGCCAGGGAGGTGAACAAGGTCTGGCAGATCTCTCCTGTCTTGCCACTACTCCTATCAGTAATGTAATTTGTTGATTTGCCCGTTCTTCTTCCCACTCTGCCTTTGGTGGGTACTATCATTGCACCTGAGCCTCTGGCCTGTACCCCAATTCTGTATGCATAAAAAATTAAACTTACAAAAAAAAAAAAAAGCTGGGGCCAGGGAAGCTGTTTCAGAGCAGAGACCGCTGTCCTGGTGTAGAGCATTCATTCATACAATCTCACAGGACAGGGCAAGTTTGATGTGTCTTCCAGTTAGTGTCTTAGAGGTATCAGGAGGTGCCAGCAGTTGCAACATCATGAAGATGTATACGTGGGCAGACCTCAGTGTTCTGGAGTGAAGGTCACAGTGGGGAAACATCCTCTTTCTAGGGCTCCTGACCTAGCAACTGTTGCCATCACAGGTCATCTGGCCAGGATTACCCAAGAGCACAGCCCCTACCTCTCAAAAATCTTTGCCCCATACATAGGCAAATTTTCTTGCCTTCGTTTTCCTGATTTCAAAGTAGATAGCAGCATTAGGATTTAAAGTGAAGAGGCACCACCCCGGTGGTGCAGTAAACACAGCACTAAGAAGCTAAAGCCACTTCTGCATGAATTCGATCTCCTGCCCAGGAGGTGACTACATGGCACGGCAGACCTCTCCTAACCCCCCCACCCCCCACTGCTCCCCTCAGCAGTGTACTTCGTGGGTCGTAGGTCGATCTGCCTGTTCTACTCCCCACTCTGTCTCTGGTGAATCCTCTCACAGCCCCTGCACTTCTGGC